ATCAGAGCAGCAAAGGGAGCATTCATGCAATACGGAGAGCCAACTGGTCGTGGCACTGGCTTTGCTCTGTAGAAATGGTTGTACATACGGGACCGACACTGCTGTCCAACTCTCCACTGGAACACACAGCTTCTTTTCTTACCTATGGACCAGGCGTTAAATCCCTTATCGAGTCAAAGGGGAAAACTCCTCGAACCTAAGTTCCTCATGGCTGACTGTGCCATCGAAAGAGATCACATTGCCTCATCTATTTTCCTTCTTTCTTCTGTAAAGACAACATGAAACAGTATCCATGATGTGCCTTCCCTTCCTTCCCACGGATAACTTTAATGTTCACTTGTGCTTTGCGAAAATACTTAATTCCTCATCTGTCCATCTTAAAAACAAAAAACAACATACAGGGGAACTGATTACAGGGACCTACATATAACTTCCTCCCTGGGGAAGACAACAGAAAATTGGGTGAAGGGAGACGTTGGACAGTGCAAGATATGACAAAATAATAATTTATAAATTATTAAGGGTTCATGAGGGAAGGGGAGCGGGGAGGGAGGGGGAAAATGAGGAGCTGATGCCGCCAGGGGTTTAAGTGGAGAGCAAATATTTTGAGAATGATGAAGGCAATGAATGTACAAATGTGCTTTACACAATTGATGTATGTATGGATTGTGATGAGTTGTATGAACCTCTAATAAAATTATTTTAAAAAAACATACAAAGTACTCTGTGTCACTTGCCATCATTTATATGCACAAACCGACCCAGAATCACTGGAACAGGTACTCTAAGAGTATGTGAGATAAAGAGAGCAGACTAGGCATCAAGGACAGAGAGCTGACTCTGAATGCCACCCTCAGTCTTTCTGGGCCTCGCGCACCATCTCCAACATGAGGACAATGACCCGGGCCCTACACTGTCCCCTCCCTGAGGGAGCTCGGAAGAGACATCTGTGAAAGCATTATGAAGTCTGCAAAAGATACAAACAGGCCAGCCATGATTATGGATCATTTCATCTTGGTGAATCTTTCCTTTCTAAAAACACTGCTTAAAGTCTTTATCCAGGCAAAATACTCCTCCCTTTTACTTCTAGCTACTGTGACATAAAATCCCAAGACAAAATAACACTATGTTTCAATAGAGAAACAAGTCAAATGGTATTCTATTAAAATTGTTTCATTCTAAGACCTGATTTCAAAAGCAAACTATGAATTTTATCAAAGTTCAGTCCTGCAGAGCTAAACAGTACTGTAGTGTTTCTCCTGAAACCTGTCTGAAAAATAATCTTTGTTTCCTTGTTACATTAGTAATTAAATAATTATCCTTAGTTCTATACAGCAATTATCACAGAAAAAAAGTAAAGCTTCCAACAATTATAGTTCACAGTCTACAAGTGCTAGTGCATGTTGTCCATGAAGAAAAGAGCTATCAGAATTTAATTACCACATTCTGTCCTGAAAATCAAAATCATCAAAAATTTCAAGGTAGAAGGAAAAGGATGAAATTACCTCACACACAGAATATCTTTGGAGGACTCCCTAATAGATCTACCACGAATGAACTAGACAGCACACATAACTTCGTCTTCACTGACCACAATTATAATTATGTACCTTTTAAATAGGAGCCTCATACAGTTTAAAAATACCTATTTGGTGTTTTGTGACTCTAATATAAACCACTGTGGGAATCCAAATAAGCTCTCCTTTCCAGACGAGGAAACGGAAAGGCAGCGAAGTTCAGGGACCTGTTGGAATAATGAAAAGGCCCGGACTAGACCTGGGAACCGAGGAAAGCTTCCTGTGCCACCTCCTCTCGTCTTGCTGTGTGCGGTCAAACGGAAAGGACCGTCTCGTAAAGAACAGGAAATGTGTACTCCTTTTCCGAGGTCCTGTCGACACGTGGCACAATGTGCATCATTAATATTTTCACAGAAGTTCTAAGGCAAAAGAACAGGCAGAGCAATCATCATCATCATCACTAAGGAACAAGTTAATAAAGAGAGCATACGGACCATCTGCCCTCTGCCAAAATAGATTCAAGCGTTTAACTCACAAACGAAAAACCTGCCTGCCATCGAGTCGATCGATGCCAACTCACAGGGACCCCATGAGTAGTCAGAGCTGCCCCTGCGAGTTTCCGAGACTGAAACAAACTCTTTTCCGAAGCAGAAAGCCGCCTCTTTGCCCAGCAGAGTCACTGGGTGGTTTCAAACCACTGACCTTGCAGTTAGCAGCTCACCAGGGCTTTTGTGCAGTTTTCGTTATTACAAGCAGTAAAGACGTTGGATGAGGCAGAATAGGTTGAGTACTACAGAGACCTTGTTCCCGAGGAACTGACGCAGAGGAAATAAAGCAGAAGCAGGCCAGAGGAAAGTTTAATGGGAAAGAAGTCCTACCAATCCACTGCAGAACTGTCTCCAGCAGGAGGAAACGGAATCATCAAGGGCCCTCTAGTCCTCTAGCCTTCAAACAGCGACTGGGAACCAGCAGCTTCAGCTTTCCTGCAGAGGACTTAATGTGCTCTTTTCCTCCTGGCATGGAAAAACCCAAACATTTTCTTCCAAAGAGCACCAGATGTAGGCGAGACACAGTTTCCATAGAAAAGTGGACAGAAGGGAAAACCAGAAAGGCTCCAAAAATGTGAGTGGCTTAGAATGGAAGAAGCTTGGAAGAAAGGACATTGGTTAGAGGGATTAGCCTATCTTTTCTAGCCCTGTATGCAGCCTTTGTACTGGGAGAAATAAGTACATCTTCGATGTTACTAGGCCTTTACTGTCATTTTTTAAAATCTGCCAAACATACTGTATTCGCCTATTAGTTCATCTATGAATTTTTAAACACAGGGTAAGTCTGTTTGCCGACAAATGATCTGAAGAAGCATTTAGAAATGAGACTTAAGAGACTAACTAAAAGAGGCTCAATAGAAAGTAACTGTCTAGAAAAGACTGGTGGCAACCTGATAAACTGATGTATGGATTGTAATAAGCATTGTAAGAGCCCTCCATAAAATGATCAAAACAGAGAATAACTACTTCTGTTGATCTTTCAGAAGAGAAATCTTGGCACCTGGATAAACCATACGGTAGGACTTTCTGGGACAACACTGGGTCAGAAGGTCACACAGAGAGAAGCCTCTCTCTCCACACCTTCAATCTGCCACTTGCTAGGCTAGATTCAGCTTAGCTCCTCTGATGCTCAGGGAATCTATAATGGGAAATGTTAGCCTCAATAAAGTTCTGGAGCTGACTGCTTCAAATCCCACCTCCCTTGTCACTGGTATTTCAGATCCAGGAAAAGCAAACTGAGGTTCACTCCCTAGGCATGTTCTCACTTTATTGAAAACACATCTGCCTCATTATAAATGGTTTAGTCACAAAATTCCACCGAGAAGAGTTAAAAAAAAAAAAAAATCACAGGAAACTTAGGCAAGTGTTATTCTCACCCTGAAAGGCATTATACCCAAAGCTCTGAAGCTAGCAAAAGCATCAAACATGAACCCTAGAGGCAAAGCAGCAAGAGACATTCCATTCCCTTTTAGCAAAAATGAGAAACTCATTTCAGCTGTGATGGACAAAACCCCACCCACATTATCTAGGGCAGGAGAAACATGTACTGACACACACATCCCCCTTGGATGTCAGCTTTTTAAATTCAAGAATTGCTTTCTTTGAGAAAAAGAAAAAAACAAAAACAAACGGGAAACAAACCTTAAAATGAAACCATTAAACTTCAGGTCCAGGAAGTTAAAAAAAAACTTTTTTTTCCTCTTTGCCTCTAGGTCCCAATTTCAAAGTTAATTCCGTTTTCTTAAAAAAATATCATGAGTCATATCAAACATCTGGTATCCATTTAATTTACTGCCCTTAAACCCATTCGACTAAGATTTGTGAAGTGTCAAAACTGAAAAAAAGAAAAATCCCTGAACAAATACCATCTGAATTCAACCAGAGAAGCTGATATTAACTTTACTCTGCTGCAGCACTTCTATAATTATACTTGTAAATGCGGATTGTTCTTTTCTCCCTGGACTTGGGTGGGTGGGTGGGTGGTGGCAGTGAGGAATTTCAGAGTGCAGGTAAGCAAAACTTGATGCAAAAGGAAAACGGAGGTTGCCTATCCCAGCATCTCCTGCGCCGACAAATTCCTGAAAATGGTTTAGAATTGTTTGAATATTTGCTAGACTACTTCTACTGGCCAGTCAAATCTTCATTTGCCCTGGTAACAGAGAACATAAGGGAAAGATGCAGTGAGCTTGTTTAAGTTTTCAAGCAACGCCAAAGTTTCCTTATTAACTTTTCATTAACTTGGCCGACAGGGAATTGACAAGCTGAGATTTCGGACCTATGCTCTCCCTCCGGGGTGGGGGTGAGGAGTAGAAAAAGAGGCATGCAAGGGGGGAAACGGCACAAACAGGGCGTAAGGTACATTCGCAGAAAGATACGACAACGATATAAGAGAAAACGACTCGACGGCACATACATGGAGAAGAACAGTTTCTCATGTGCAGCTCTCGGGACGCACTTCTAAATGCAGAACCGCCTGCCAAGAGCGGCTGGCATCGGCGCAAATCATTAACTCCCTACCACCCACAACCTTCTGTTAGCCCATCTTCCGAAAAGACGGCCTCCGATCCCGGTGAGCCGCCACGAGGCCGTGCGTGCGCGCAGGGCCAGTGCATCCTAAGGGGAAACTCAGGCCCAGAAGGCAGAGAGCCCAGAACGAAAAGCCGAAGTTTCCCAGGCAGGGGCCGGACCAAGCCTCCCTCCGCTGGGAAGGATGCCGTGCCGCCGCTCCCTACCCCTCGTCCTTAAAAAGAGGCCACTCCACCGGGAGGGGGGCAGGGAGGGCTCCCCGACGGCCCCCAAATCACTTCCCCCGCCCCTTACGAAAGCCCCCCACCCTCTTCCCCCGGAGCCCCCGGACAGGAGCGCCACGTTTCCACTTCGTGCCCCCGCCCCACGGAAGGGAGCAGCCCAGCTACCATCCCCTTCGGACTTATACCCGCTGGGCCCGAGAGAGTAGCCCGAAGCCTCCATCCTCGCCCGGCCAGCGGCCAGCCCGTCCGGACGCCTAGACGCCGTAGCTCTGGTGGCAAGGCTGGCAACCCTCCGGGCCACGCCCCTGGCAACCACACCCCGCACTGTCGCAATCGCCTATTGGTCCATGTGTGCACCGCTCCCATCTCATTGGCTACTGCCCCCACCCGGCGTTGCGGGAGGGTTTCTCAGCGGGTCGGAGACCCCGGGAGTCCAAGGCGCCCGCGCGCCAGTGGGGGCTGACGCGCACGCGCGCGGCTCCCTGGAGCCTGCGGCGCCGGGAAGGGCCGAGAGCGCGGGCGGACGTGTCCGCGTCCGCAGTGTGGACACCCCGCGGCGGGATGCGAGTCCCTCGGGGGAGCCGCCCAGCCCCCACTAACCGCCGCTCCCTCCCGGGCGCCTCGCTCGGCCATTAGCGCCCGAGACCACCCACGGCGTCTGCAGGGGTCTGGACAGACTTGCAGACCTCCGCAGCCTCTTCACACCCCGGCTCCCCCCTGATCGCAGGGGCCTCCCCGGAACCGCAGCGACTCTAGCTTTCGTGGGGTCCCCGAGGGAGCCCCGGGGCTACCCGTTGGGCTGTGGTGGCAAGGCGGGCGTCGGAACCCACCAGCCGCCCCGCGGGCGGGAGAAAGGCTTAGCCTCGGAGACCCACAGCGGGTGGGGTCACTAGGAGTCAGCACTGACTCAGTGGCGGTGAGGTTGAGTATGGGGTCCCCAAACTGTTAGCCTACCGCCCCGCTTTTCCCAACCGCGCACCCTGACAGCGGAGAAACTAGCCGAGCATCCGGGACAAACTGCAGTGACCTGCTTTTGCAACTGTCCCTGGAGCATTCCACTGTCCATTTTGGAAAACACTTCAAGAGTTTTCCTCTTCCCGCCCGCTCTGCTCCAACCTTGAGATCTTTCCGGGACTCGCTCTACGAACCCTTAAAGCACACGGAGGACCTAGGGAACCGTGTCCGCCTCCGCCCCCCACCCTTGCTCTGCAATGTACAGGTCAGCTTCCAGCGCCCACATTTCATATGGGATCTGTACCTTTATTTACAATCTCGTTCCCATTCATGTTTCCCTCACCTCCTACTTAATACCCTATGGTTCCTCCAAAAGATGGAAGTTTATTGCACACTGGCTTGAATTTATTGCATTCCAAGGTCAAACAGTTGTTCCCACATTAGTTTTCAATCCAGAACCTGACAAAACACGAGGTAAATTAGGACTTCAAGGCAATGAAACTCAGGAGGCCAGCCTCCATGCACCGCTTGACCTTGATCACAGTCCATTCTGTTTCAAATTCCCATCTAAAAAAGAAACAGAAGAATCCCTGCTTGGTCCACCTCAGGTTGGACCTGACACATTAAATAAGTTTTTAATAAAGACAATTGAATCAAGATGTATGGGTAAAACACAAGTGAAATCCTTTAACTGGATACTGCTGCAATATTTACAATATGAAGTACTACTCCTTGAACGCTTCCTGCACTTATTTACATACATTTTAAACAGTTATGACAGGAAATCATTTTCCCATTCTGTTTAATATCTACAGATTTCTTTGGGAACAGAGTCAAAACAACGTCAGTCCCCTACCTTTCCAAGGCCCACCACAGTTTTCATTAGAACAGGCTGGCTGCCCTTTCCTCATCTGGCAGAAGCCAGGTCGTGGGGCAGCACATTAACCACAGAAAGTCACTGATTGTTTTTTCTGTGCATCATCTATTAACCATTTATTTACATACATTTTTAACACCAGGTACTTAAAAAAAAACACACAAATTGGGAAACCAAATTCCTTTAGGACTCCGGGACCCCAGTTAAAACATCTATTTCCGACTGGTGAAAATTCCATCTTTACCAGTGATGTACTCCGTGAGCCAGAAAAGCGACATAAGACCAGTCGTCCGTTGTTTTGTGCAGTCAGTTATTCACTAGGAACTGGCTTCTGCTCAGCTTCCCACTCTCCCTGAGGCAAGCCAGTAGATGCTGCCGTCTCCTCCAGGTGACCTTTATCCCATACTTGTCCTCGGGGGTGTCTTTAACCAGAATAGGCCCGGGCTTTGGGTGCTTGGGAGTGCTAGTACGAAGGGAGTATCCTGGATGACGGTTTCCGCCCTGATTGGAGGGAATGGCTTCTTCCTTCGCAGGCTCTGGGGTGTGAATATCTGGTGGAATGAAGGCATACCCTGGGCTTTGAAGTGTCTGTAACGACAGATCCTCACAGCTTTGGGGACTGAGCAATGGAACCAAAGGCCTTGTGGAAATGTCCTGCTCGGGTGGACAGGGGCACTCCCTGGCTAAAGGGACCCCCGGTGCCTCTGAACTGGAAGACGACGGTGGACTCTCAAAGGTTAGGTGTGGAAACTTGGAAGTGGTAGATTTCCGACTTGGACGTCTTTTCTGCTCTCGGCGCTGACGTTTCCGGTGAACGTGAAAACCGTTCTCTGTTGTCATACCAAACTGAGGCAATACCTAAAGATAAAGGAGAAGGGGGTGGAAAAAGACAAAGAGAGCTAAACCAGACATAAATATATTCAGGAAACCGTATCAAATGACCAGAATCCTAGATGAGAACCAGTTACAGTAACAGACACAGAGACAAAAAGTTCTGTCTAATGAAACAATAGAGCTTTGGATAAGCTTCTGGATCTCTTGGCTTTCAGTTTCCTCCTGGGCAATAAAGGGTGCATGTCTTTTTGTCCTCATCACACCAGGCAATGGTGACTTGTCTACCTGTCTCTCTTTAAACCTCACGAGGGCAGCACCCTTGTTCACCACTGGTCCCCAGCATCTAGCAAAGAGCCTGTTACAGAGAAGTAGGCCCTCAGTCAGGAATAAAGAGACGAGCTCCCGTGTGTGGAGCCATGAGCAGAGGGCCCGGCAGACGGACTGCTCCATAAGCAGACATTCCTGTGCTCATCCAGGCTCAAATATTGGAGTCTCCTCCACAATATACATGCATGTATATGAGATTGTTCCCTAGCTAAATACTCCAACTTCTCCCTTGACCTGTCTTGCCATTTCGCTGGTTTTCTCACCCAACTACCCCTGGTACTGCTACTTGGCTACTGAACGCTTGCAGGGGGATGTGGGAGGAAAGCTCAGTTCCAGCCAATTCGCGACTCAATTGTGAAACGAGAAAGATATGTACCAGAGATGTCTGACAAAGGCGAAAAGAGTGCATGGCCTCCCTGTTCCTATCTGCCAAAGAGCTCTGGGTTTTTTTGGAGGCTCTGATCCCAAACCAGCACAGTCAGCATCCCGTAGTGCCTAGGAGAGGACAAGTCAGAGCAAAAGTTCCATGGACCTACCCAGGAAGCGATGGTTCTCTGGTCAATGGGTTTGCTGGGGACCCTTCTAGGGTTGGTGACAGGAAGCTGTGGCAATCCATGGTGGTGTTTGGGGCCCTCCACTGGTTGTTGGTGGAACAGCAGTGGGGATTTCTGGCAACTCTGTCCCCGTTTTTTTCGGGGTGGCATCAATAAGTGAATGAACAGCAGTTAGTAACCACATGATGCTAGCTGCAATCGGGGGAGATCAGACTCCAATTCCAACACAGGCCTGCGGAGAAGAAACCAAAGCTGGGAGGAAAATAACTTGGATGATTCCCCAGCTCTGCCAGCTAATTCTACCCACACCTCAAGATTATGGGGAGCATATGGCATCTCCACCCCCTTCAACCACACACACACACACACACACACACAGAGTACTTCATCTCCAACAACAGTCATTCTGAATACATTTACTGAGCACATGTTAAGCACCATGCTGGCTGGTGGGAATTAAAAATGAATCCCCACTTTTTCTTTTTTGATGACTTTTAAAAAACCATTTTATTAGGGGTTCATAAACTCTTATCACAATCTATACATACATCAATTGTGTAAAGCACATTTGTACATTTATTGCCCTCATCATTCGCAAAACATCTGCTCTTCATTTAAGCCCCTGGCATCAGCTCATTTTTTCCCTCCCTCTCTGCTCCCTGCTCCCTTATGAACCCTTGATCATTTAGTTATTATTATTTTGTCATATCTTGCACCGTCCAAGGTCTCCCTTCACCCACTTTTCTGTTGTCCGTCCCCCAGAGATGTAGATCCTTGTAATCGGTTCCCCCTTTCCAACCCACCCTCCCGGTGTTACCACGCTCACCACTGGTCCTGAAGGGATCATCC